GCCCCCGACGCCGAGGCGGCCGCACCGAGCCTGCGAGAGCAAGAGCGCGGGCCGCCGGCCGGACCCTCCCCCGTCTCCTCCCCGAGGTCGCCGTCGTCTGCCGGGTGCGTCCGCTCTCTCGGCCCCTCCCCGACGCCCGCCGGCAGACCCTCCCCCGAAGCCGGTCGTGCCCCCAGCGCGCCCTGAGAGTCTAGGGCCCTCCTGGGCGCAGCTCGCCCTTCACCCCACACTCCGCGCACCTGGCGCCCCCTCCCTGAAGGGCACGTTGTCCTCCCTGGCCCGGCCCGCCTCCTTCCCACCCCCGCGCTCCTAACGGTTGCCCCTTCAGGCCCATCCCAAATCCTGCCCGGCACGGCGAGCCAGTCTCTCCCGGGGGCCCCATCTCACCCCCTCGTATCTTCCGCCGGGCCCGCCGAGGTGGTCCCCGACCGTAGTGTTCAGTTCTTCACAGAGCCCCTGCTGTGTGCCCGGCGCTCCCTGGAGATTTTCCCCAATGCGCTTCAGTGTTCTTGTCAGAATTAGCTGGGCCTTGCGGGGCTTAAAGTCCAAACGTTCATGACTTTGGAAGCCTTTTCCCGTAATCAAACACCTCAACTGGTTCTTTACCAGAATTTTCTTTCAGCAAGCGACAGTGTGCTTGGTCATTGGGGTCTCCTTTCTCCCGGTTGCTTGTCAGTGTTAAACACCTTCCTTAACAGAGACTCTTTCCTGTCATCAAACTAGGCCCTCCCTCTAAGCCACCTTCCCAGCCCATCTTCCCTGATGCAGCAGCTACCTGGGCATAGCCCCTCACGCTTTGCCTTTTTTCAAGTAACTGCAGAGAAGACCCTTATCTCTATCGCCTTTTACCTAATCATTACTAAAATTCCTAGTAAGCTTTCAGGTCTCTTCATTCATAGTGCTTGGCACTGGTAGGTGCTAAATGTATACTTGACTGGCCCTTGCCTCTACCCACCCCAGTTTTACTCTGCTCTTGCTTCTCAAAGTGCTGCTTTCCCAAAGTTCATCGGCCTCCACACAGCCTCTCCTGTGCCCCTCCAGGCTAACACACCAGTTTCAATTTACCTGCTGCCCCCTTTGCTTTGGGAACTGAAACTATCAGTACTAATAGGCCAGTCCTGGTCTGCTTCACCCAATGTGAGTTTGGTCTCTGACACCCATCTCTACCGTTCCCTTTGCAGTTCCAGGCCACTCAGTCTCCACCCCAGCTCCAATTTTATTTCCTAGATTGTGGATCTGTGTCCCCATTGTCACATTACTGGGAAGGGTTTGGGGGCAAATCTGGACTTTGTGTTCCTGCCATCGCCTGGGCAGGTAGGGGCGTCTAGGGTCTCCTGTGGTGACTGAAATCAAGTGAGTTGTGTGCTTAGACTTCTGGACTAGCTTTTTCAGCCAGTGGGTGCTTTAGTGTTGTATGTGATGTGATGGTTAAAGGACCCCAGTTTGGCCTGACTTTTATATCTGTGGTTGGAGTTTAGAGTAGAAAAAGTAGTCACGTTTAAGAGGAGAGAAGGTGAGAAGAGGTTGTGTGAAGGGTTTAAAAAAAAAAAAAAACTAACAAAATAAAAATGGTTTTAAACTCACGAAGTATGCCTGAGCATTTGGGATGGTTAACTGTTGCTTGGTGATCCTTCTCCAGTCTTGGATCGTGTTAGGGGAGGTCGGGAAACCCTGTTGGGCAGTTGCAGCTTACCTTCCTTGTTTTCCCTGGCTGGAGCCCCAGATCGAATGAGGAAAAGTGTGCAAGTGCTCTGAAAACTGATAAATAGTATACAAATGTTAAGTGGCATTATTTACCACGAGGGCTCAGAGTGTAGAGAGCTGGAGCCAGCCAGGATGAGCACAGGCTTGTTACTCCCCTTTTAAGCCTCACCATTCTCAACCCAACGGAGAATGTTTCCATCCTGAGAAAGGGCCGAGTCACCTCCACAGACTTGGGGCTGGGTGGCTGCTCCAAGTGCTGGGGAATTTGAGACTCTGCTGTTAATAGTGGTACCCTTCCGTGCCAAGGGACACTGCTCTGGATCCGGCTAATCTTAGAGGTGATGGAGCAAGGAAATAATGCTCTTAGTGTGTATCCCTGTTGTTGGGTCTTTTCCTCCTCCCTTGAGTTCTGGACCCCAGATCAGTCTGCCTTTGGTCCCCTCCAGCCTGTGTGAGCACTGAGGACCAGTGTGTGTCCTCTCTGCTAGTCTCCAGCAGGGGGCAGCCTTTTAATGGCAGTAATTCAGATGCTAGAGGAGTGAGCAGATGTTGTTGTTAGGCGCCATCAAGTCAGTTTCGATGCATGGCGACCCATGCCATGGTAGAACTGCTCCATAGGGTTTTCTAGGCTGTAATCTTTATAGGAGCAGGTTGCCAGGTCTTTCTCCCACTGAGCCGCTGAGTTGGTTTGACCCAGTGACCTTTTGGTTAGCAGCTGAGCACTTAACCATTGCACTACTTGAGCCTATATTGAGGCCCAAGAAAGAGAAGAAATGGGAGGATAGGGAGTGGGTAGATGAGGTATGAGGTAGACATACTGAGGGCAGGCAGAGAGGTAGTGGATAAGCTGCAAGGAGCCGTGTGAGGAAGTAGCCAGGAAAATGTAAGGCAGAAAAGGATTCGGTCCCTAGTTCTTTGCCCTCTGCCTCTCCAGCTCTGTCCTTCATAGGAAAGAGATTCAAATGCTTGATTTGAGAGTTTGTGATAGAGAAACTTAGAACAGTTTTGTGTTTTTAAAATCTAGTTTCTCCAGGCTTTCTCTCCCAGCAGGACCTCAGCTTTTTCTCACGGGACAGTATCATTAGAGAATGATTTTTCCTGCTGTTCAGAGGAGAGAATGAACTAGAGTCATTGTGGTTTCTTTTGTTGTCCATTGTTCACCATAAACATAGAATGGGCATTACCTATGTTCATAGCGGAGAGGAGGGTTTCTTAACTGTGGCATAGTTGACATTTGGGGCCAGATAATTCTTTGCGGTGGGAGACTGTCCTGTACGTTATTTAACAACATACTTGGTCTCTACCCACTAGAGTCCAATAGCAACTTCCCTTCCAAATGTGGCAATGAAAAATGTCTGCCAAATTTCCCCTGGGGAACAGAGCTGCACCCCAGTTTGGGGGGTGCCATCTGTGCTGCTTTACAGTGGTTCATTTGGTCCGAGGCAGGGCCAGGTGGCTATCTAGCTTCTGGGACCAAACCCTTCTCTGGTTGGTCCTAAAGTCTTGAACTTTGACTCCTAGCTTCTCCCCAAGAAGATGGGATGGCTTTGACCTTTTCCTGCTCTGAGGTTCCTTTTCTCCCCTGACTGCCTTTCGCTTGCCTCTGGAGTTTCCCTGCTTCTCACACTTGTTTAAACCACTTTTCCTCTGCTTGCTGCTTATACCGGGACAGAAGGTGAAAGCAAGAAGTGGAAAGCTGTCGTTGCCATGCTCTGGAAGCGGGGGAGGGTCAGTTTTCCCATTTTTCTGTTCCCCTCTCTCCCTGCCCCCAGCCTGTCCATGCCTGCAGGACGAGGTTCTGTCCCCTCTGGAAGACGGGCTCTTCTAGAGTGAACTGGCTAGTAAGGAGTTGCAAACTACCTGTCTTGAGGTTTGTTAGGAGGAACATGGGGTGTTTTTCTTGGAGTACGGAAGACTTAGGCACACAGTAGTTTCCCCCCAAATATCTTAAGGGTTGTGGTGTAGAGAAAGAATTACCCTTACTTTGTTTTGGGAGACCTGCTTTAATCTACTGGAAGGAAGAACTTTTTGACAGACTTGACCCCTCCAATGGCCTTGTGAGGTGTGGCATGCGCTGCGTGTGCCATCACCGGAAATGTCCAACAGAGACTGTTGTGGAAGAGATGCCCCTGCTGGGGGGAGGCTCGCCTAGCTCTAGTTCATCTCTAAAAAGCTGCTTTTCACCCGAAAGTGCTGTAATTCTAGGAGTGGATCCTGTGTTTATCATGCAGTTTTACTTGTTCTTCTTGCTGCCAGCTGTAGGTGAGAGAGCCTGTTTCCTTTGACACCTTTGGTGAAACCCTTCTTCCTCTTCCTTCCCAGAGTTAGAGAGTCTTGGAGTTGATGGGTACTGTGGAGGACATCTGCTCCAGCATCCCTACCAGCCAGTGACGGAAGCCCTTGCCTAGCTCCGTGGGACACTACCTTTACCTCTGCTCGGGCACCGCCGGTGATGAGCCTCCTCCCGCGAGTCTCTTCTGTTGTTCGTTAGAGGGACAGAGTGCCGCTGCTGCCTCTTCTGATACCAGCAGTAAAGTAACTGATTTTGTATATGTTTTATGATGGGCGAACCCGTTCCCTAGCTTTTCTCATAATGATGTTGTTCGCGTCTTGGATTTTATTTGTACTTATGATTGACTTCTCCTGATTCTGGGGCAAGGGGCTCTGGTATTTATTCCTGTTTGGTGTACCTGCCCCTGGATGTGTTGGCCAGGCTTTCCTGCCTGGAGCCTGCAGTGTGTGCCCCATCCTCGGCCCTGGGATAGCCTCCCTTGTTTCCCTTTTCCTGGGCATCTGCCCGGCTGAGTACCTGCGCTGTAGCCTCCGAGTAGCCAACCCCGATTTTTGTCATACGGGATGTAGTTTTGTTCCCAGATTTATTTCTCATTCTGTCTGTAATTAACCTTTTCTGTTTGTAGGGTGGTTTTCTCTTTCAGTGGTTTTTATCTCTGTTTTGAATGTTTGTATATACCTTAAGTACCTTCCTTAGTGAATGCTGTACCACAGTTCCTGTCTCTGCCTTCAAGGAGAATGCTGACGACCTAGAGACCATGTTTGGCGGGTTCTCTGCCATACTTCTGGCATCTAGCTACTTGCCTGTCCGCCAGGAACCCTCAGTGTTTGCTGAATGAACTAACTGCTCATGAGGCAGAATGAGAGGGGACAGAGATGAGAAGAAGTGGGGGCTGTGGTCTTCTGTTCTGGGTGACAGGCAAACTCCAGGCAGCCTGTCGGCCTTTCCAGTTACATAGGACAGGAGGACCAGAGGCAGGGAGTCCCATCTGACCCATTAATTTAACCCGCCTCTTCTCCTTGCTTCTCATTAAGGACCTTTCTCAGATGTGAAGGTCCCTCCCCAGTCACTGCTGAGGTCAGACCAGTATCCAGTAGCTTGGGAACCCTAGTTCACTCGGCATAGGCCCCTGTCTGAAGAGAGTGCGGCCCAGCCCTACTTGCTTCCAGGGCAAGGCTGCCAGGTGAGTCTAAGGCAGAGGGTGGGAGAGAGTGGTCCCTGCATGGAAGCCCCTACAGAGGCTGGAAGGGGCTTGAGCTTCCCTGTTTTCTCCCCTCCCCCAGGTCTTTCATCCATATTGACTCATCTCTGGTTAACTAATGGTGTGAGTTGCCACCTGCTGGCTCAGGTGAGTTCTTTAGAGCCCAGGTGTCCCATCCCCAAGCCTGATGCCTGTCCTTGTGTTTGCCAAGGTGCTGTACCTACCTATTCCTGACCTTCTAGGGGTTCTCTGGGCTGCTCTTCTCCAAGGCCTTGTTTCCCCCGTGCCTCCACAGCTATTGGAGAGTGAACGCAGGTCCTCTATCCTCTGCTCACTCCCTCCGACCTCAAGGAAACGCGCCCAGCTCCATAATGGCAGCAGAGACCCTCAATTTTGGGCCTGAGTGGTGAGTCAGATGTGCTTTGGGTGGCGTAGAAAAGCAGGATGAAGAATAGGGCTGCTCTGACTGCTATCTTTCTCCTTCCTCTCTATATCTTTTCTAGGCTGAGGGCCCTTTCCAGTGGGGGCAGTGTGGCCTCCCCACCCCCATCCCCTGCCACGCCCAAATACAAGCTTGCTGACTATCGCTATGGGCGAGAGGAGATGCTGGCCCTCTTTGTTAAAGAGAACAAGGTGGGTGTGTGGGCGGGTGGGCGTGGGAGGTGTACGACCAGTTGGCTTGTTCAGCCTCAGCTAGTGGAGAGGGCCCGGGAGCATGTGGTTTTTCAGTACTCCTGCCCCAAATGACAGGTCCCCGATGAGCTCCAGGACAAGGAGTTTGCTGCGGTGTTACAGGAGGAGCCACTGCAACCCCTGGCACTGGAGCCTCTGACTGAGGAGGAGCAGGTGGGGCCAGGCTGGGGATTGAGGCAGCCAGGTCCTGGGAAGGGTGGCAGGCTGCAGTCGAGGTGTTGGGTTTGGGGAGGAGAGGGGACTGACATGGGGAAGATAGATGGTGGAGCTTGTGGTTCTGCACAAGGGCTGGGGAGTGGTTGGGTGCCTGGGTCCTCACTCCCACCCCTGGCTCCCTCCTCAGAGAAACTTCTCCCTGTCAGTGAACAGTGTGGCTGTGCTAAGACTGATGGGGAAAGGGGCTGGTCCCCCCGCAGGTGGCACCTCCCGTGGCAGGGGCAGCACGAGAAGCCGAGGTAGAGGGGGTTATTAAGTGTTCTAGGGGGTGGGCAGAGGTGGTGCCCGTGGTTTTGAGGTGTGGAGCAGTTATCTGGTGGTTTCCCATCACCTAGTTTTCTGTGTGGACCTCATCCCTCCTCCAGGCCGTGGCCGCGGTGACAGCTGCTTTTACCAAAGAAGCATTGAAGAAGGCGATGGGGCCTTTGGACGGAATCCCCGGGAGATCCAGCGTAGCCAGAGTTGGGATGACAGGTGTGGTCTAAAGGAGGTGTGGCATAGAGGCAGAGCAGAGAGAAGCTCAAGGGTTAGGTCCCGGGGTCCCATGGAGGGAGGCTTGGGTCTTTGTCATTAGAGGGGAACGGTGGACCTACCAAGGAAAGCCTTGTTGGAGATCTCTGTGCTCTCTGAGCCCCTGTGGTCCTTTCTGCCCCTTTCCCTTCTGATTCTCTTAGGACCTGTTTGTCCCTGTGACCTCTTCTGTGCCCCACTGTGTTCCCTTCCCATAAGCTTGACTTTTCCCTAGTTTTCTCTGTCCCCTCCCATCTTCCACCTTTCTTGGGCAGAACGGATGGCATGTGCAGAGATCCACAGTTTGGCGTGGGGGCAGGCTGGACTGCTTTGACCAATCCCTTTACCTCTTGCAGGGGCGAGAGACGGTTTGAGAAGTCAGTGAGAAGGGACGGAGGTATGGAGTGGGGTGAGAGTGGTGTGCAGGGCTTTGGGGTCATTGTGAGGAGGGGGCGGTACTGAAACGGATCACCCCAGTTAGGGGAATGTTTACTGGGAGAGAGAGAGAGGGGCAGGAGAACCTGGAGCTGGGTTCTTCATTCACCAGCAAGCGTTGATAGCAAGAGTCTTCCAGGTACCATTCCTTCCATCCTGCTAACAGTGCCTTCATCCCACTCCTCCTCCAGCACGATCCGGGTTTGAGGAGGGAGGGGCTGGCCCTCGGAAGGAACATGCCCGCTCAGATAGCGAGAACTGGCGTTCTCTACGAGAGGAGCAAGAGGATGAGGAAGAGGGCAGTTGGAGACTTGGGGCAGGCCCCCGGCGAGATGGTGATCGCTGGCGCTCAGCCAGCCCTGGTGAGATAGGGGCCAGCTGTGCATTTGGGGTGGGGGGAAGGGCAAGAACTATCCCGTGAGGGTGGGCTTCTCTGGCCAAGAGGAAGGAACAGAAAGCTTTCTGGAGTGGGGGTGGTAAGGAAGCAGTCCTGGAAATGGCAGTTGTTTCTGGGGGGATCCTGGTGGGCAGCAGAAGAGTGGAGACTCTGGCCTGACTAGGATACCGGTTCTCCTCCTCCAACTTTTCCTGCCCAGATGGCGGCCCCCGCTCTGCTGGCTGGCGGGAACATGGAGAACGGCGTCGCAAGTTTGAATTTGATTTACGAGGGGATCGAGGAGGGTGTGGTGAAGAGGAGGGGCGAACTGGGGGAGGCAGCTCCCACCTTCGGAGGTGCCGAGGGCCCGATGGCTTTGATGATGACAAGGACGGGCTCCCGGAGTGGTGCCTGGACGATGAGGATGAAGAGATGGGCACCTTCGATGCCTCTGGGGCCTTCTTGCCTCTCAAGGTATCTGTGAGGAGACGGGAAGATTTTTGTTAGAGGTCGGTGGGTTGATGGGGTTCTCGTGCTCCCACCCATTCTCTGCCCCTTACCTCCCCATCATATCCCCTAACCCCATCCAGAAGGGCCCCAAGGAGGCAATTCCTGAGGAGCAGGAGCTGGACTTCCAGGGTCTGGAGGAAGAGGAGGATGAGCCTACAGAAGGGCTGGATGAGGATGGGACTGAGGCAGGTAAGCCTTCAGGGTAAGATGAGGCATGACAGCCTTGAGCTGGGCCAGGTGGGCAAGGGGCTGAGTACCTGACTGAGCACTGGTTGTTCACCCCCCTCTAGGGTAAAGCTGCTTAGAAACGAAAGGAAAGCAGGTGCTTTCATAAATGGGGGAGGAGTCTGCAAACAGCAAAGCTCTGTCTTTAAAGGCAGTATCAGACAAAAATCACATGTCATCAAAACGACCTTTGAGAATCTTTTAAAGAACCCATATTGTACATACAGTCCTGTACAGTGATGGGCCACATGCATCGTGTGTCCTGAATTGTACAGGACAAGAGTAAGTGAACAACGTTGGAGTCTGTGGTGCTGAATAACTGGATGTTAGTTGAATTGACCAAAGTTAAATGGGCATCTGATGGGCCCAATGCCCAGAGGCCCGAGCTGTGGTCACAAATGGAGGGTTTGTACTAAATCACTTTTAAAACCTTCTAGTTCTTTGGTTTTGAGTTTTGGTAACTACTCTTTCAGGTGGGAAGGAACTGACCCCACTGCCTCTTCAGGAGAAGTCGTCCAGCTCCTCATCCCCACTGCCCACCTTGGGCTCACTCTGGGGAACCAATGGAGAAGGTGATGAAGCTGTGGAGAAAGAGCTGCCAGCAGCTGAAGGTAGACAGGGCAGGGCAGAGCAATTCCCTGTGTGGACTGGGGTTGGTGGAGAAAGCACCTCCTCCCCTTGTGCGGTGGAGAAGCACAGGGTATTTTTGTTGGCTAGAGGTGGTTAGAGCCTCTTTTTCTGGATTGGTGGTGGATGGGGACTGTCTTTCCCTCGTGCTACCTTTTTTCACTCCTCCTAGGAGACGATATGAGAGGAATCCAGCTAAGTCATGGGGTGGGCTCACCCCCTGGCCCACCCGGAGATCTGGAGGATGATGAAGGCTTGAAACACCTGCAACAGGTGTGAGGGGGACCTAAGAAAGCTCTAAGACTCCTCCCCTGCAAGAGACAGACAGCCATTCTTCTGTCCCTGCCCCAGATTCCAAACTTCCCGTTTCTGTCCTGCCACATCCATGACCTGACCTGACCCCAGCCCCAGTCCTATCCTGATGTTGCTGTGATTGGGTGGCTGAGGCTGACCTCTCTTCCCGGGCTCCCAGGAGGCGGAGAAGCTGGTAGCCTCCCTGCAAGACAGCTCCCTGGAAGAGGAGCAGTTCACAGCTGCCTTGCAGGCCCAGGGCCTGCGCCACTCTGCAGCCGCCACTGCTCTCCCACTCAGCCATGGCGCTGCCCGCAAGTGGTTCTACAAGGACCCGCAGGGGGAAATCCAAGGTACCTCTGGAGTGCAGGGAGGAGGCAAGGAGGGGAGTGCTAGGGAGGCCATTCTTACTCATGGGTCTTAGGCTTGCCTCCTGGCCCCAATGGTTTTTTTTTGGCCCTGCTTCTCCCTCGGTCCAGGCCCCTTCACAACACAGGAGATGGCAGAGTGGTTCCAGGCTGGCTATTTCTCCATGTCACTGCTTGTGAAGCGGGGCTGTGACGAGGGCTTCCAGCCCCTGGGTGAAGTGATCAAGATGTGGGGCCGTGTGCCCTTTGCCCCGGGGCCCTCACCACCCCCATTGCTGGTGAGCATGGGAGCGGAGGTCTGGGGGACAGGGAACGGGGGGAGGTACAGAGCAGGACAAAGTAAAAGCTGCAGGACCTCAGGAGAGCCTGCCATGTCCCCTCCTCCCACCGTTTGCACTGGCATTGCTATCGTTCCTCACGCAGGGAAACATGGATCAGGAGCGGCTGAAGAAGCAACAGGAGCTGGCAGCAGCTGCCTTGTACCAGCAGCTGCAGCACCAGCAGTTTCTTCAGCTGGTCAGCAGGTATGGGGGCCCTGGAGGGACTTGAGAGTAGGGTTGGGGCACTGGCTGGGTGTGGCCCTACCCACCCCGCACCCCCTTGCTGTGTCCCTGCAGCCGCCAGCTCCCACCGAGTGCGCTCCGGGAAAAGGCAGCTCTGGGAGACCTGCCGCCACAGCAGCAGCAGCTTACAGCGTTCCTGCAGCAGCTCCAGGCTCTCAAACCCCCCAGGTCTGTGGGCCGGTCCATCTGTTGGCATCCCTGTGTGACTGTTTGTGTACAAAACCCAGGATATGTGAAGGGGGAGATGGGGAAGATAAGGAATGGGTTTAGGGTCCTGAGAATCCATGGTTTGCCCCTCAGAGGTGGGGACCAGAACCTGCTCCCGACGATGAACCGTTCCTTGTCGGTGCCAGATTCGAGCCCCCTCTGGGACATACATACCTCAGCCTCATCACAGTCAGGTGTGTGGCCGGCCAGACCTCTCATTTCTCCCAGTTCCCTGCCCATCCCTCCCTCCCTCCCCTGGCCAAGCAGACAGGAGAGATCCTGTCTTGAATTCTTGATGCTCCCACCCATCTCTGCCAGGCCTCGCTACCTCCCCTGGCAGTCCCTGGGTGAGTAGGGTGTCCCATGTCTGTTTCTCATCCCAGTGCTGCTCTGTTCACCTTTTGTGGGTGAGGAGCCAGACTACTTGACAGGACCAGAGGGGCTGGAGTTCTTCCTGAAGCTGCCTTTGCCTCCTGCAGGTGGTGAGGCCAGTCTTTGGGACATACCAATTAATTCTTCGACTCAGGGTCCAATTCTAGAACAGCTCCAGCTGCAACATAAAGTGAGTAGGCATTCCTGGGGTTGGAGGCCCTGGGTGTCAAGGGCTGGACCAAGGTAGGCTCCCTAGGCCAGGTCCCCCCAGGTCTCATATTTAATCTTTTTGAAAGTGTCAGTTCCAAGAGCGCAGAGAAGTGGAGCTCAGGGTGAAGCGGGAGGAGGAGGAGCGGAAGCGACGGGAGGAGAAGCGACGCCAGCAGCAGCAGCAGCAGCAGCAAGAGGAGCAGAAGCGGCGACAGGAGGAAGAGGAGTTGTTCCGGCGCAAGCAGGTGGGGGCCCAGCTGAGCCCTGTGGGACGGCTGTGCTTGGGTCAGGCCAGCTGCCCTCACCTGTCTCTCTGGTTCAGGTGCGGCAACAGGAGCTGCTGCTGAAGCTTCTGCAGCAGCAGCAGGCAGTGGCCACAGGCCCTGTGCCCCCTGCCCCCAGCTCCCCACCCCCACTCTGGGCTGGCCTGGCCAAGCAAGGCCTCTCCATGAAGACGCTGCTCGAGCTGCAGTTGGAGGGTGAGCGGCAGCTGCACAAGCAGCCTCCGCCTCGGGAGCCGTCGCGGGCCCAGGCCCCCAGCCACCGTGCGGTGAGCAGGCTGGGCCCTTCCTGTTGATTGGGGGAACCTTTTGGGGCCCTTGGGAACCCTGTCCAGTCAGCTTCCAGGGTGACATGGGGGAGGGGTATCACTGAGTCCAGACTTTTCCAACCTAGGCCCTGGTTCCTTATCTGACTTTGAAGGATCCCTTTCTCTGTAGCCCTCATCTCACCCACCCTTTGCCACCTAAACAAGCCTCCCTACCTAGCTTTCTTGGGCACCCTTGTTTGAGCCTCCCTGACTTCCTGCCATCTGTAACAGCTTGGGGGCCTGAGCACTGCCCCCCTGTCTCAGTGGGTAGCTGAGACTGGGCCGCTGTGGGGCGGGCCTGACAAGAGTGGGGGCAGCAGCAGTGGCTTGGGACTCTGGGAGGACACCCTTAAAAGTGGTGGTAGCCTGGCCCGAAGCCTAGGCCTGAAGAACAGCCGGAGCAGCCCATCTCTCAGGTGGGTACTGGGGCCTGGAGAGTCATGGTAGGTCAGGGGGTGGAAGGATGCGGAACACCTGAGCCAATTTGTTGCCTCTGAGCCACCCCCTCCTGCTCCCCTCAGTGACTCGTACAGCCACCTGTCAGGTCGGCCTGTGCGCAAAAAGACAGAGGAGGAAGAGAAGCTGCTGAAGCTGCTGCAGGGCATCCCCAGGCCCCAGGATGGCTTCACCCAGTGGTGTGAGCAGATGTTGCACACACTGAGCACCACGGGCAGCCTGGACGGTACTGGCAGGTGGACCCTGGAGGCTGGCTGGGCTGGGGCCAGGGGTCCTAGACCTGGGTCAGGTGGGCCCTGACAACCCCATCCCACCCCATAGTGCCCATGGCTGTAGCGATCCTCAAGGAGGTGGAATCCCCCTATGATGTCCATGATTATATCCGTTCCTGCCTGGGGGACACGCTGGAAGCCAAAGAATTTGCCAAACAATTCCTGGAACGGAGGGCCAAGCAGAAAGCCAGCCAGCAGCGGCAGCAGCAGCAGGTGAGGTTTCGTAGAGCCTTGGCAGGTGGGGGGCGGTGGCCCTGCCGCCCTCCCACTTACCCGCTGTCTCTGCTGCCTTCAGGAGGCTTGGCTGAGCAGTGCCTCCCTGCAGACAGCCTTTCAGAGCAACCACAGCACCAAACTTGGCCCTGGGGAGGGCAGCAAGGCCAAGAGGCGGGCACTGATGCTGCACTCAGATCCTAGCATCTTGGGTAAGTTTGGGGCTGGGGAGGGGAAGGAGGCTCCTTCCTCAGCACAGAGCCGGAGAATCCTGGGGGACAGACCTCCAATCCAGGTTTCTCCCTGGCTTCAGGGTACTCCCTGCACGGATCTTCTGGTGAGATAGAGAGCGTGGATGACTACTGACCAGCCCATCCCACCAGCCCCCTGGGCTGTAGGCCAGGGGCAGCGGCAGCAGCTTGGACCCTTGGGTCTCCAGCCTGCAGGCTCCCCACAAGGAGCATAGGAGGAGGCAGGGGCAGGGTCCCCAGCACTTGTTACAAACCACACGATGCACCTTAACTCACCCACCACAAGGCACTTTACAGATTGGGGGGAAGGGTTTTTTTCCTTTTTTTTTTTTTTTTTTTTTTATTTTAAACAACATGGAAGAAAACGTTAGGAGAGACAAAAAAAAGACCAGACTCTAAGCACCTCTGCCCATCTGGGGATAGTGGGGGTGACGATGGAAGGTCCACAGAGGTTCGTTCGTTTTTTTTTTTAAGAAAAAAAGAAAAATAACGAGGAAAAAAAAAGACTGAAAGAAAAAACACACTGTTGTTTTGGGGCAGTGGGAACACAGGCCCTATGGATCTGTCCTGCCTGCCCCCCGTGGCTGCACTTACCCTCCCTGCCCTTGTAAGGTGGGCCATTGGGGTAACTGGAAGCTGGGGGGCCAGCAGTTTGCACAGCGAGGCCCCCTCGGAGCCCCGCCTGCCGGACCCGCTGTGAACGGCTCCCTTGTTGCTGTGACTGTGGCAGAGGTGTCCAGGGTGGGGGCCAAAGTAGCCCCTTGGCTTTGCTGCTTTGGGGGAAAGTTGCACAAATTGGGTGAGTCGCCTCCACTCCCCAGGCTAGCATCCTGTGCTGGCTGATGGGTAGATGGGAAAGGCCAGGCCAGTGCCAACTTCATCTGGCTGTTGGCAGCAGAACTTTGACTCTGGCCTTGGTGAGGGCTTCCCCCACCACTGCCATTTGCGGGGAGGGCCTGGGCGTGAAGCCGAAAGCCCCAGCTCCCTGCCTTGCCACATGAATGTATTCTTTGGGCCACAACCCTCTGCCTCCCCCCCTGAGCATGGAGAGGTGGGAGCGGATGATTCCTCCCGGAGCCAGAAAGGTACCACTTAATGGACTGAGTTGTTTCTCCTGTGAAGGGGGCAAGTGGAGGGGCGTAGAAGGGCAAGAGAGGGGGCAGCTTGGGGCTTAGGGTTGTAAAGTGGGGGGGTGGCAAAGGGAGCCCCCTCTCCCACTGCCAGCTGTGTGGAATGTGGACCACCCAGCTCTGCTCTGATCCCTCCATTGACCAAATGGGAGAGAAGTGACTTCTTCCCTCCCTGCCCCCTTGACAAGTTTTTTTAATGTTGAGTGAGGTTGGAGTAAGAATAGAAGTGTCTGTCTCTCCTAAGTCAGGGGTAGGCCGCCCTTTCTATTTCTCACTGACTTCTTATTCCTAATCACCTACCTGGTTTGTCTCCATCTGTGTTTTGTGTTTTTTTTCTTTAAATTGGTTTCTCATCTAATTTCTCCTGTCGACCTCATTGCTCAGAGTGCAGTATTAGGGCAGTATTCTGCCACTGCCTCCCCTCCATGAATGTATTTATCCTTCCGGTCCTGGAGAAATGGGGAGTGGTTTCTCCCCCATTTTTCTTTCCTAGTCAATCCCCAGAGAGACTTTTTTTTCTTTTCTTTTTCTTTTTTTTTTTTGCACCAAAGTGGCAACTGGGTCAGTGTTGGGGGATAAAGCTGGCCTTGGGGGTTGAAGGGCTCCCTCCTCCTGCTTCTCCCTGGTTTCAACAGTGTTAGCGTCCGTGAAAAGACAATATTCTCTCTAAAGCAATAAGGGGGTGATGGGCCAGGGGGAAATGTCTTGCTGCTGCTGGCCCCCCAGCTCCCCCTTTCCCCTCACCAGTATTTGGTGGCATTAGAGGGGTGGGGGGGGGACTACTGTTGTGACTGAATGTAACCCCCCCACCCCTGCTGCACTCAATGCAGGGGAGGGGCATAATACTTTTTCCTGTCTCTTCCTTCCCCTTCCCCCCAGCTGAAGAGACTTTGAACTTTGGGGGCCCTTGAGCCTGGAGAGGCCTTAACCCTGTGAGGAAGTGTAGGGGGAGCCCTCTCCCACCCCCATCCCCTTCTGAGAGTGGTCAATGTTTACAAGCCCCTGAGCCCCCCAGCCCAGGGACTCAGACTCCATTGCTGTCCTTTCCGATCCCAGTCTTCCTGGGCCCTGGCTGCTCTCCAGCCCTTCCTGGGGTTGGGGTTGGTGCAGGGGTCATTCTGTACTCCCTTGTCTGCCTTGTCCCTACAATCTTTTACCCACTCCCTCCCCTCTGTGACCTCTGTTTTACCTGCCCCTGTAAATACCCCCTTCCCCCCAATAAAACTTGGTGTGTTTTCTCCCTCTCTGCCTCTACTGCTGTCTTGATTTGGGGAAAAGGGGACATTGGGGGTGAGTGAGATGCTTAAGGCTGGGCAGCTGTGGTCAGCCAGCCTAACTGGGTGAGAGATCAGAGGACTAGGTGTGTTAAAAGAACACCCGGCTATGCCTCTGCTTGGCAGCAGCTCTGCCAGAGACTGCAGCTTTGGCCTGAAGGAATGTGGGGCGGAGAGAGCTCCCCTCTTGCCCCCCAACCTCAGGCAGCAGAAACCAAACTGAGTAAAACAAGGGTGGAGACCAGGTACAGAGTTGGAATTGGTTCCTTTATGGAAAAACTGAAAATATAATAAAAATTAAAATAAAACCAGTTTTAAAAAAGCCAGCCCCTAGAGTTACCACCTCCTGCCTCTGGCCCTCCAGAGGGGTGGGGCCCTAACTCCAGGGCAGCAAAAGGAAGAGGGCTTTCTACCCTTCCTCTTCCCCCATTCTATCCCCATCTTTATCTCCACAGTGGGGGCCCCGGGAGGAACCAAACCTGGGTGGGGGAGCAGGGACCCAAGGCTCCATGGCTCGCCGGGGAGGGAGGCTTGGTGCACCCAGCCCCAAAGCTCCCGGCCTGTAGTGTGGGCATGGGCAGGGCCCCTCCCAGCCTGGGCCCAGTTGGGGTTGGGACGGTTAGTTCCAGATCTTGAGGAAGGAGTCCCAGGAGCCTGTGGCCACAGCCATGCCATCATCAGTGACCCCGAGGCAGCTCACGCGGTTGTCATGGCCAGCGAGGACACCTGTGAGGGAGGGGCGCGTCAGAACGGACCTTGCCTGGTTTCCCAGTCCCGCCTTCCCCCACCACCACCCAGGCCTCACCTGCACGGTCGCCCTTCATGGCATCCCAGATGTTGCAGTTGAAATCATCGTAGCCAGCAAGCAGCAGCCGGCCACTGCGTGAGAAGGCTACGGAGGTGATGCCACAGATGATGTTGTCGTGAGAATACATAAGGAGCTCTTGGTCAGCTCGCAGGTCGAAAAGGCGGCACGTAGCGTCATCGGAGCCCGTGGTGAAAGCGTAGCCGTTGGGGAAGAACTGCAGAGAGGATCAGAGTGAGATGAGGGTACAGAACAGGGCCAGGAGCCTGGCAGAGAAAAGGGCCGCCTCAGCTTTGGCCCCAGAACTTACGGCCACGGCATTGATGTCAGATTCGTGGCCAATGAAGGTCTGTCGACACATCGAGTCCCGCACATCCCACAGCTTGATGGAGGCATCACAGGCACCTGACACAAAGGTGCGGCCATCGGGAGCCAGTGACAGGGACATCACATCTCCACTGTGTCCTGCAAAACCCACCGTCTGCTGGCCTGTCTCAATGTCCCACAGGGCACTGGAGCGGTAACAGGAAGAAGGTAAGAATCAGAGATGGGGTGAAGGACAGATTCCCTGCCTCCCTAACCCCTCTACCAGGTGAGCCCAGAAGCCTCTACGGAAGGGACCCTGGAGCCACTAGGTCACAGAAGCCTGCTCTTGCCCCAGGTCAGAGAGCCGTAGGTGGGGAGAGGGGACCCTCACCCACCCCCTTCATGCCTATCAGGAGTGGGAAGCTAGGTGTTCAGAAGGCAGACTCTGCCCTGGCTCGTGTTCAAGGTGTATATACCTTTAAGGACTGAGATTAGTGACTCCCGAGGCAGGAAGTGCGAGTTAGCCCAGACACCCCAGCAGGGCCTTACCAGGTGGTATCCCCGGAGCTGGTGATGATTTGGTTATCATCCAGAAATCGGCAGCACGACAGGTACCCTGGGGAAAGGGGCTGGTCAGCCAGGTCTCAATAGGGAGGGCAGTGCAGCCCCTCCCCCCACAATAGTGCCCATGCCTTGCCAGACTCCTCTCACCAGTGTGCCCTGGCAGCTCCCGGCTGACCCTGACATTGCCCTCACGGGTCTTGAGGCTGTAGATGGAGCAGATGTTGTCCAGCCCCCCACAGGCCACAAAGTTCCCTGAGGGTGCATAGGCACAGGTCATGACCCAGGAGGAACGCAGTGGGATGGCATGGACCTAGACAGGAGGGGCAGTGTCAGGGTCAGAGCCAGCCAGGACCCTGCAGCCCAGCCCCGTCCTGCCTCAGGGACAGCCTGTACCTTGTTGGTGGTGTAGCTGTCCCAGATGATGAGCTTCCCGTCCTGGGAAGCGCTGACCAGCAGCCTGTTGGAGAGTAGCAAGGGAGGGGAAGAGGGCTCAGGTCATGAAGCCCTCCTCTGGAGGCAGGACACTCTCCCACTCCCCTATCTGGAAGGAGGCCCTTCTGAGATAACTTCCAGCAGCAGCCCAGGAGTTCCTGTTGGTATAATCCTTGTTCCCCCAGTGCTGGTAGGGATGTTTGGGAGTCATGATCTTCCCCAACGTACTGCATCCTGTAAGTCTTTCAGGATCTTCGAGGTTGCCCTCCACCCCCGTACTCTGCCTGCTTTTATAAAGTCAACCCATGAGTACACAGCCCCAAGCCAACCACACACACCCACACACCTTGAGTCTGTCCCCCAGTGCATGGCATAGATTTTTGCCAGGTGCCCACGGAGGGTCCTCCGTGTCCTCATCTGGATTCTCCCCACTGGGTCCAGACCAGCTGTGATCTGGAGGTGGAGGCAGAAAGCTCAGGGAGGTTCAGGTAGTAGGGCTTCACTGAGCAGTATATCTCAAATCCTTGCTCCTTCCCTAAACCCCAATTCCAGCCCTGAGTTTCTCTTACCTGGGTCAGTGTTGAATCCCCACATGCTTTTCGGGCATCCTGTAAGAGATGGCAGAGCCAGTCAGAGAGGAGAGAAGAAAGCAAGAGGGGGAGTAAGAGGAGGAAAGCAGACACACGAGTGAAGAGAATGAGGCATTGAGAGATTAGGGTACCATCCCCCGCAAAAAGCCCTCACCCGGCCCACTGCAGGGCACTGGGCAGAAGTGCACACAAACCTCGGGGCCCACTCAGCCTCCCCACCCCTGCCTGCCAAGCCCTTACCCGGATCTGGTTCCGGAGCTGCTCAGCCTCCTGTCTCAGTTGCTCCAGCTCACTCATGGCGCCGGGCCCGTGGGGCGGGGTTGGGGGCGGCTGGGGGCCGCGGGACGGGGGCTGGGGGAGGCAGCTCCTCGCTGCTGGCCCGAGGCCTGGGGGTTACAGGGCTGACGTCAGGCCCCAAGGCCGCGGGGAAGA